TAATATCACATTTTTCGTGGATATAATGTTTATATAAAATATCATGGTTATCATGTAATATTGTTATTAACTTTTAAGTCAATATTGACTTGCCATATATATAACAGTATGAATATAGGTTTATGGAAAAATAGTCAATAGCTTAAAATGTAATTAAATGTTTTTAAATGTCACTGCGATATTGTGTGTATAAAATATAATAATACTATATCTATAACTTATGTAAAAGTTTCAAATTCCCCAACAAAAATATATTTAAATTATAATGAAATAACTAAAATGGTTGAAAAATATCTAATTATATGCTATCTAAATTTGAACTGTGTGAAAATAAATTGTCTTTTTATTTAGGTATAGATATTTTGGTTTCAGTACTATCAACTTATTGAGAACCTTGTAAAAATTTAACTTTAATGTCAAAATTATTTACAAACAATCGTAATTTCTAGAATTTCATAAAAWTATTAGCGTCAAACGCTTATACAAAACATGCAATTTTTATATTTTTAAATTGCTAAAAGATCATTTTAATATTTTATGTGAAATATCGCATTACATTTTCAAGMTTTTTAGTCTAGTAAAAATATTTTTATTTACGATTATGAAATAAATCATAAATTKTATAATGTTTATRAACTCAAATAAATWGCTAAAAAAATATAAAATAAATWATTTTATAAATTATTAWGAATTTTGTATTTTGACCGACACACAAATTAAAAATCCAAGCATTTTTTTTCAGTGTAAAAAGTTTCATAAGACATAAACATTTAAAAACAAACTATGCAATAGTAAAATCAATAAGTACATTCATCGCTCAATTCAGAATCTAAAATAATAACTTTATGAAATAATCAGTATATAATATTATTCAAGATTCAAAATAATATATGACGAAAGTAAAACGTATGTAAATACTTGTAGGCAGCCTTGGGTAATAAGAAAAAAAAATATTTTTTTTCTTCATATTATTATATTTTTTTTTTTTTTTGTGCCAGGGTACTAAATTTGATAAACTTAATGTTTATCGAAACCAATACTAATTAGGTAATTACTATTAATATGAATTAAATACCTATTCGAGTTTCAGATTGTAATTATCTTCTAATTCATGTTGAAGTTGTGTTTGTTGATAATAACTGTGGTTAAAGCTTCATAGTGAGTATTGGGAGGGATTATAATTAAGTTAAATATTTTTTATTTCTTATTACAGATTTTTTTCTATTATTTTTCATTTGTTTATTGGTTATTATAGAAATTACTGCGAAAGTAGTTTTGAAAGGGCATTTTACTTTTTATACGCATTAGTAAAATACAAATACTTGTTCAAAAAACTACTAACGTGTTATAGATGATTAATAGGAATTTAAAATATTTGGAATTGTATAGTATCATATAAATTACTTAGATAAAACTATATAAGTACATTATATTGTTATTATAATTGATAGCTAAACTCATATTATAGGTGCCTATATAATATCTAGCCGAAACGCATACTTGTTACACATTCCTATGTCTTTATATAATTTTTAAAATATAAAAATTACTTTCACTAGATGCGAGTGTGTCAGTAGAAAAAAAAATATCCTTTATTCTAATAAAAATGTATTCACCGACGAAGAAGTTTACAAAGTGTTTCAAAATAGATGTAATATATTATGTTTACTTAATATGTTATGAATACCTATATACGCATTTTGCACATCGTTTTCACTCATCTGCTGTATTATCA